TGCTGCTGGCTGAGTTACTCCGTCCCTTGGCAATAAGACAGACTCTTTCTTCACAGCCAGTCGATCACCCAGTGTCACCACCCTGCCTGCTGTCTCGGCAGGGTAATTCCTCAGGTCACCACAGTTTCCAGCCTGCCTTGGGCTTGGGAATGAGGAGGTGGGAGAGCAACAGCTTGCAACCGTGAACATCCACCATGCATCGCTTTATCACCTAGAGCAAGTGAGTGGCATTAGGGTTCCTCTGTGGCATCCCCCGTCTGTCTGGGGAGAGGCAGAAAGAGGGGGAGAGAATGTCTCCGAAAGGAGATCGGATTTGCAAAGCGACCCCAGGAGTCCCTCGCTTTCAGTCAGGGGAGGGGCTTCTCCAGAGCCATCTCCAGTATGTTTGGAAAGGTCGCAGCAATGGGGCTCCCAGCCCTTCCCTTGTGGGAGACTGAACTGGGCTGAGAGTCTCTGAACTGGGCTAGACCCTGTGAGCTGCTGAGCATGACATCAGTGGGAAACAAGGAGTCCCTGGGCTTGCTATGCCTAGGGACTTTGACGTGGGGAATGGTTTCCCAGGAGAAATCTGGACTCCTGGATTCTGTTCCTTCTCTAGCCTGGAGCGGGAGTGTGGCTTGGGACAGCAGGAGGGAGCTGCTTGTCCAAAGTGACAGGTGGTCTTTGTGACTGACCCCAGTGCTGGAAAAGGAGGAGACTCCCCGGGTATTGCTGCACCAGGGATGACGAGGGGGAACGTTGGGAGCAGATGATGCAATGAACTCCTGGCAGTGTGTGTAGATTGCACTCCCTGCACCCCTGTGTGGAGAGGAGGAGCTGCTCTGGCAGAGACAGGGATGGGGAGGGACCAAACAGGGCGGTTAGTGAGAGGCTGCCTTGGGCCCAGACTCACGGCTGCTCCTCGCTCGGTTCTATTCTGGCCAGGCTCCTGAGGATGTTGAGAAAGAAGGCTCTGCAGGTGGCCTCAGAGCCTGAGGGAAGCAGCTGCCATCTTCCCCAGGAGCAGAGCGGTCCCTTTGTCCCCTCTGGCGGGGAAGGAGTTCCCGGCCGAGCCAGGAGGTGGAAGCGCCCAGCCTTCTGGCAGAGGAAACCTGCTCTGGATGCAGGTGCTGAGGTGGGAAGGGCACCAGGTAGGCTGAAATGGAGCTGTCCCAGGATGTGTCTGGGCAGGCAGGATTCAGCCGAGGAGGGGAGCCGGGCAGGGTGGCTCTGGGGCTTGTTGTGTGGGAAGCACGGGCCCCAGAATCCCAGCCCTGATTCCCAGCAGGAGGCATCGCCCTGCCCAGTCACTGAGGACCTTCCAGCCTCCCGAAGGCAGGAGGTGGAGGAACCCTGTCCAAGCACCAGCAGCTCGGCCCGCTCCCCATGGGACTAGAGCAGTGCCGGGGCCTGAGGCAGCAGCCAGGCCGAGGTGCGCCGCTGCTTTGTTCCAGGTGAGGAACCAGGCTGGGCTCAGGGAGGGTTGAGGTGGGGGCGGTGAACACCCTGGGCCCAGGCACTCGACCAGTGCTGTGGGGACGGGTCCCCAGCCCAGCTGTCTGGCTTGAGCCACATGAACCCCACTGATACTAGATGCTTCCACTTTGGTCCTTGATGCTCCAGGTGGGGGCGGGTGAGTCCAGGACACTGTGGGGGAGGGAGGGTCTCTTTGCTATGGGCTCCTGAAGCAGTTGGGGGCTGAAGGCATCACTGAGAGGGGGAAGTGTGGGTCCTGATCTGCCCTGGGTCCCGCAGGTGGGAAGGGGGCACATTGCCCCACCATGCCCCTGTCCTTGCCCCGCGTGGCAGCAGGAGTCACCCTGTCCCCTTCTCTTCCTGGTGCAGGGACCTCCAGGGACTCAGAGGACGAGGAGGAGGTAGCCGTGGACATGGCTATGAGGAGGCTGCTCTCAGGAACATCCGAGAGCAGTTCCAAGGCTGAGAAAAGGTAGAAACCTTTCCCAGCTGTGTTGGAACTGAGATTGTCCTTCCCCTTCCCAGCACCCTGACCCCCTGCAGAGGGTCTTGTCTCTGATGATCCACCAGCTCTAACAGGGACTTTTCTCCACTATGATCTGGTACCCCCAAAATAGGGGTGTTTGTCACAGACCAGCCAGAGTCTCCTCCCCCAACATGCACTGTCCCAGTTCCTGACCCTGTTTGTGTAGGAGGTGTGGGTGATTTGGACAATGGCCGGGTCCCCACTATCCCCCTATTCAGGCCTGAGTCCCGCAGCTGGTGTGGGTGGGGCAGGGAGGTCCCTGGCTCACTGGCTGTCTCTCCCCTAACCCCACTCCTGGTGGGTGCAGGACAAGGCCCAGCAGCTCATGTTCCTGGATGCCATCCACCCCGCTTGATTCGCTACACGGAAGAGAGCACAGGACACATGGGAGTCGCACTGCTGCAAGGCGGCTGTGGTGGAGAGGACTGTGGTGAGCGAGACACAGCGCCCAGCCGGTGGAGGGAGGACAGAGGCATGGGAGGGGAAGGGGTCCTTTTCTCACTGTGCTGTGCGGCGCAGGTTCTGGGTACTAAGGCTCTGAAGAAGCTCTCAAGGAGTAATTTTTAAAATAATTTTTATCAGTGATTTGAGAGCAAACATACAATCCCTGCTGAAAAGACTGTTGGGTGACAAAATACACTGGTGGGTGACTGGTGGGTGGCAAACTGGACCCATTCAAAGCAAAGAAATTTGACCAGAGCCAAATGCAAGGTCCTATAACTAGCAACAGGGCATGCCGGTCACACCTCCAGAATGGGGAAGTATATCCAGGAAAGCAGTGACTCTGAAAGGGTTTTCGGGGCCATAGTGGAGAAGCCCATGATCATGAGCTCCCAGTGTGATTCTGTTGTGAACAGAGCTAAAGCCATCATTAGACGTAGGAGTAGAGCGGTGAGTAGGATAGGGTGGTGACAGAGCATCAGTGAGACTGAGATTGGAATACGGCATCCGGTTTTGGTGTCCTCATTTGAAAAAGGTGTTGAGACATTGGAGCTGGGGCATCAAAGAGCCACCAAATGTTCTGAGGGCTGGAGAAAAATTCCTTCTAGTGAGCTACTGAAGTGTTGAAGTGCCTTAATGGAGAGAAAATATTGGGTATGAAGGGGCTCGTTAATCAAGCAGAGCAAGGCATCACAAGACCCAATGGCTGGAAGGTGAAAAGAGAGAAATTCATATTTCAAATAAGGAACAAATATTCAACAGTGAGGATGATTCACCACAGGAACTAGCTACCAAGGAAAGTGGTGGATTCTCCATCTATTGATGTCATTTAATGAAGACTAGATGCCTTTCTGGAATGTGTTTGCCCCGACAGGAGCTATTGTGGTCTACAGGAGGCCTGTGATATTCAGGGGGTCAGATGAGATGCTGGAATGGCCTCTTCTGGCCATACAGTCTCCTAATTTCTGAAAAACTGAGTGTAGCATTGGGAGCAGCCTCTGATGTTTTACTGTCAAGCCAGCTTGCTTCCTGGAATGAACCCTCATTGAGTGGGATGATCCACGGGGTACTAGTAGCTCAAACCTCCAAAGTGTCTGGCCAGCAGCAGGACATTAGCTGTGCAGGGGAGGGGTGGGTGTGGCAGTGAGATCACAAAGGCCTTTTGCAGGAGCTCAGCCTATTGGTCAAAGGTGATGGAGAGGTGGTGACCTCACAGAGAGATGCTGACATCAGCCAGGCAGGACGGGGTGCAGGTCCAGGGAAACGTCAGAGATCCCCTGTGGCTTTGCTTCAGCAAGTCTCCTTCTCGAGGTTTCTCTTTGAGGACTGAGAGAGTATTAGGATTCACGTACGTGAGCACGAGGAGGAACCTCTTTGAAGTTTTCTCCTTTCCTTTTACAGATTTTACGAGAAAACATACGTCCCTGTTGAGAAGGTAAGAGCCTCTGAGAGGTTTGGAACCTGTTCCATTTGATCCATCTGGTGCCAGCTGAAATCTAGGCATGGAAAACACTAGTTTAAGATGGCAGAATATTCAGCCAAACACCTAGGATTTTGTCCCTTAGAATCACTGGGGACATTAGGGTTTGCCCTTTTGTGATTTTACCTTTCCCTCCATCCCTCCGTCCTTTCTCTTCATCTCTTACTTCTTTTGTCCTTTCCCCAGTTCCTCTCCCACCACCAGGAGAGGGGTGTCTGTGTGTGTGTGTGTGTGTGTGTGTGTGTCTTGGGGGGGGTGCTCTGCAGCTCTCATTGTGGGAGATCCACCCAAAAATGTGGGACTGAAATAGTGCTCGGACAGTGATCCCCACCGGTGACCGGGGCCATCCTTTGGGCTCTCTGGTAAGAACCTGCAACCTCCCACCCCTCTACCCTGATTGGCTGAGCAGGCTTACTGACAGGGAGTTGACTGAGGTCCTTGTTTGTCTCTTTTAAGACCAAGTAAATAAGTCATAACCAGTCATATGGTTGACAAATTTTGCTGCTTCTCTGCTTTAATTGTCTCTGAGCAGTTCATGATTCTCTCTAACATTCTAGTTCTCCTAAAATACTTTCTGAATAATTATTATGAACGGTGGTTGGTCATTTGAGAGCACTTTATTCGGGTCATTCAATGTATGAAATTCAAGGTTGGAAGGTTAGTTTGAAAGTCGGGTCCTATTCCCAACTGAGGTCACACAGCCAGTCTGAGGCAAAGCCAAGTCAATTCTCCTTTCTCTCTCTTTCAAGTAGGGATAACAATCCGCTCCTACCTAACTCATGGTGGGGGGAAGATGGGGATCCATTGGAGCGAGTCACTCGGAGCAGTGCATAGTATGAGGTGTCCTATCACGTTTACTCAGATCAGATTATGACCTAATCGAAGAGCTGAAATATTCTATTTGATTTGTATTTTATTCTTTTAAAATTGATAAGAGCAGCAGGCTCCAGGAAGGTGTGTAAAGTGCTGGGATGTCAGGAGCTGAGAGGCGCAGTTTCCCCCACCCCCCTGCACTAGGGCAGTGTTCTGCACCCCCTGCTGCGTGCTGAGTTACTCCGTCCCTTGGCAATAAGACAGATTCTTGTTTTCACAGCCAGTCGGTTGCCCAGTGTCATCACCCTGCCTGGTGTCTCGGTAGGGTAATTCCTCAGGTCACCACCCTTTCCAGCCTGCCTTGAGCTTGGAGAATGAGGAGGAGGGCAAGCGAAAGCTGGCCACCCTGAACATCTGTCATCCATCTCTCCATCACCCAGAGCAAGTGAGTGGCATTAGGGTTCCTCTGTGGCCTCCCCTGTCTGTCTGGGGAGAGGCAGAAAGAGGGGAGAGAATCTCTCCCAAAGGAGGTCGTATTTGCGAACCGACCCCAGGAGTCTTTCTCTCTCAGTCCAGGGAGGGGCTTCTCCAGAGCTGTTTCCAGTGTGTTTGGAAAGATCCCAGCAATGGGGCTCCCAGCCCTTCCCTTGTGGGAGACTGTTCCCCAGGCGGAGAGTCTCTGAGCTGGGCCAGACCCTGTGACCTTCTGAGCATGGAAATCAATGGGAAACAAGGGGACCCAGGGCTTGTTATGCCTAGGAACTTTGATGTGGGAAACGGTTTCCCAGGAGAAGTCTGGACTCCTGGATTCTGTTCCTTCTGTAGCCCGGACAGGGAGTGTGGCCTGGGACGGCAGGAGGGAGCTGCTCATCCAAAGTGACAGGTGGCCTGAGTCCTGCACCTGGTGTGGGTGGGGCAGGGAGGTCCCTGGCTCACTGGCTCTGTCTCCCCTAACTCCACTCCTGGTGGGTGCAGGACGAGGCCCAGCATCTCATGTTCCTGCATGCCATCCACCCTGCGTGTCTTGCGGCACAGCAGAGAGAGCAGGACACATTGGAGCCGCACTGCTGCTAGGTGGCTGTTTTAGAGATTATTGTGGTGAGTGAGACACAGCGCTCAGCTGCTGGAGGCAGGAAAGAGATATGGGAGGGGCAGGGGTCTCCCCGGGCTAATGGATGGGGGATGGCTGGTGCTGGAGGGGCAGCTGAGGGCAGGGATTGCTGGGGCTGAAGATTGGGGAGAAGAGATGGGAGAAATTCTGAGATTGGTCACTACTGCGTAGGAATCGGAGGAGCAGGAGGCAGGTGGGGGGACCTACGGGCTGTGTGGGGTGCTGGCTGTGTCATCTCCTCACTGAGAAGCGTCAGTCAGGCCCAAATCTCACGCTCCTTTGTCTCCTTTGGGTCTCACAGGAGCTCATTGAGGAGCTGCCTGATATCTCTCCACCCAGCGCCATCCTTGCTAACTCCCTGATTGCTGTGGGCAACCTCAGGTACCGAGACCCTCCCCCCGGTTCCCCGAATCCCTTTGCTGCTGAGGCCCCCGGCTAAGAGTCACTGCCCCTCCCACTCCCCGCTCACCTCCCAAGGGTGACTCCTGTGGCAGAGGTGCTGGGAAGGTTCACACTCTCCTGGCTGGGCCGTTCTTTTCCCTCCAGTTACTTTGCAGTGGCTTTGGGGAGAGGCTCACTCCCAGGATCAGATAGAGGAGGGGGCAGCAGGGTCCAGGGAACAGGCTCTATTCCTACCCTGCCACTGTCTGTCTGGGAAACCTTGGCCTTGTCATTCCCTGGCTCGGTGCCTCAGTTTCCATTCTCGCCAGTCTGGGCCTATTTCCCTGCAGCTTCACGTCCGGGTTGGTACCAGTGCCGCCTCCGCACTGCACGGTCTAATACCAGCTCCTCTCTCCTGCCAGCACCACGACAGCTGCCCTGGAGCCAGAGCTAGAGACCCACCTCCTTCGAGCTGCCCCGCATGCCGTCTTCACCCTGGGCACGGAGAAGGACACCACCCACCTCCAGGTAGATCATGCTTAAGTCATGGATCGAAGGGCCTGCTGTCATCCTGCCATGAATCCTGGCTAATTGCCTGCAGTGGGATGTGAATGAGGGAGGCCAGGATATGTGTTTGGGGGGTCTCACCAGCGCTTCCCAGAGACCCTTCTTCCCATCCTGTGGCAGGTGTAGCCCCAGTTTCCCTAGCTCTGAGCCATGGCTCTCCCTTGCTTTGCAGGATCTGCATAGGGTCTTGCGCAGGGCCAGGGAAGGTCAAGAGAACCCTGTGGCTTTGCTTCAGCAAGTCTCCTTCTCGAGGTCTTTCTGTGAGGACTGAGAGAGTATTAGAGATGACGTACGTGAGCACGAGGAGGAACCTCTTTGGAGTTTTCACCTTTCCTTTTACTGATTTTACGAGAAAACAGACATCCCTGTTGAGAAGGTAAGAGCCTCTGAGAGGTTTCGCAAAAAGAAAAGGAGTACTTGCGGCACCTTAGAGACTAACCAATTTATTTGAGCATGAGCTTTCGTGAGCTACAGCTGAAGTGAGCTGTAGCTCACGAAAGCTCATGCTCAAATAAATTGGTTAGTCTCTAAGGTGCCGCAAGTACTCCTTTTCTTTTTCGAATACAGAGTAACACGGCTGTTACTCTGAAATCTGAGAGGTTTGGAACCTGTTCAGTCTGATCCATCTGGTGCCAGCTGAAATCTAGGCATGGAAAACACTAGTTTAAAGTGGCAGAATTTTTGGCCAAACACCTAGGATTTTGTCCCTTAGAATCACTGGGGACATTAGGATTTGTCCTTTGGGTTTGACCTTTTCCTCCATCCCTCCCTCCTTTGTCTTCATCTCTTACTTCTTTTGTCCTTTCCCCTGTTCCCCTCGCACCACCAGGAGAGGGGTGTCTGTGTGTGTGTGTGGGGGGGTGCTCTGCAGCTCCCATTGTGGGATGTCCACTCAAAAATGTGGGACTGAAATAGTGCTCGGACAGTGATCCCCACTGGTGACCAGGGCCATCCTTTGGGCTCTCTGGTAAGAACCCGCAGCCTCCCACCCCTCTACCCTGATTGGCTGAGCAGGGCGTTATTGACGGGGAGGAGACTCAGGTCCTTGTTGGTCCCTTTTAAGTCCAAGGAAATAAGTCTTAACCAGTCATATGGTTGACAAATTTTGCTGCTTCTCTGCATTAATTGTCTCTGAGCAGTTCATGATTCTCCCTAACATTCCAGCTCTTCTAAAATACTTTCTGAATGATTACTATGAACTGTGGTTGGTCATTTGAGAGCACTTTATTCAGGTCATTCAATGTATGAAATTCAAGGTCCGAAGGTTAGTTTGAAAGTCGGGGCTCTTGGGTCCTATTCCCCACTCTGCCACTGACTGGCTGTGTGACCTAAGACAAGTCAATTCTCCCTCTTTCAAGTAGGGATAACAATCCGCTCCTACCTACCTCACTGTGGGGAGAGGATGGGGATCCTTTGGAGAGTGTCACTCAGAGCAGGGCATAATAAGAGGTGTCCTATCACGTTTCCTCAAATCAGATTATGAGATAATAGAAGGGCTGAAATATTCTATTTGTATTTTATTATTTTGAAATTGTTAAGAGCAGCAGGCTCCAGGAAGGTGTGTAAAGTGCTGGGATGTCAGGAGCTCGGAGGCGCTGTCCCCCCCTCACTAGGGCAGTGTTTTACACCCCCTGCTGCTGGCTGAGTTCCTCCGTCCTTGGCAATAAGACAGACTCTTGTTTTCACAGCCAGTCGATCACCCAGTGTCATCACCCTGCCCGCTGGCTGGGCAAGGGAACTCCTCAGGTCACCACCCTTTCCAGCCTGCCTTGAGCTTGGAGAATGAGGAGGAGGGCGAGCGATAGCTGGCGACCCTGAACATCTGCCCTTCATCGCTCCATCACCTAGAGGAAGTGAGTGGCATTTGGGTTCCCCTGTGGCGTCCCCCGTCTGTCTGGGGAGAGGCAGAAAGAGGGGGAGAGAATGTCTCCGAAAGGAGACCGGATTTGCAAACCGACCCAAGGAGCCCCTTGCTCTCAGTCCAGGGAGGGGCTTCTCCCAAAGGAGATTGGGTTTGCAAACCGACCCCAGGAGTCTCTCCAGAGCCATCTCCAGTGTGTTTGGAAAGGTCCCAGCAATGGGGCTCCCAGGCCTTCCCTTGTGGGAGACTGTTCCCAAGCCTGAGAGTCTCTGAACTGGGCCAGACCCTGTGAACTGCTGAGCATGGAAATCAATGGGAAACAAGGGGACCCTGTGTCACGGAGTCCCTGGGCGATGCTCTGGAACTACTCCCTATGAAGCCAGTCAGGACTGTGGGGAAGTCTCCTTTCTGTGAGCAGACTGTCTTCAGGACACACAGCTCACACAGCTTCCACCTTGCTGGGTCTGATCTCGGAGCATTCAGCCTCCTCTGCCCCTCCATGTGCTTCCCACCGCGAGTCCGCCCAAGCGGGGTCCTGTGGAAGCCAGAGGGTCCTGCACCCCAACTTCGCAGTCAGACATGACTCTCAGCCAGCCAGTAAAGCAGAAGGTTTATTAGATGAGAGGAACATGGTCTCAACCAGAGCTTGTAGGTGCAGAGAACAGGACCCCTCAGCTGGGTCCATTTTGGGGGTCAGTGAGCCAGACAACCCCGTCTGCACTTCACTCCATGTCCCCAGCCAGCCCCAAACTGAAACTCTCTCCAGCCCCTCCTCCTCTGGGCTTTGTTCCTTTCCCAGGTCAGGAGGCCACCTGATTCCTTTGTTCTCCAACCCTTTAGCTCTCACCTTGCAGGGGGGAAGGGCCAGGCCATCAGTTGCCAGGAAACAGGATGTCGGCCATTCTCTGTCTGTGTCCAGACCCCTGCACACACCTGCCCTCTAGGGCTCTGCAACGATCTTACACCCTTCTCCCACCACCTAGATACTTAAGAACTGCATAGGGGAAGCTGAGGCACCCCCTTAATATTCAGAGGAAACATTAAGAACAGTCCCGCTTCGTCAAACCCTGGGCTTGCTATGCCTAGGGACTTTGACATGGGGAATGGTTTCCCAGGAGAAGTCTGGACTCTTGGATTCTGTTCCTTCTCTAGCCTGGAGCGGGAGTGTGGCTTGGGACAGCAGGAGGGAGCTGCTTGTCCAAAGTGACAGGTGGTCTTTGTGACTGACCCCAGTGCTGGAAAAGGAGGAGACTCCCCTTGAGGGTATTGCTTCACTAGGGATGACGAAGGGGAACGTTGGGAGAAGATGATGCAATGACCTCCTGGCAGTGTGTGTAGATTGCACTCCCTGCACCCCTGTGGGGGGATGAGGAGCTGCTCTGGCAGAGACAGGGATGGGGAGGGACAAAAAGGCTGGTTTGTGAGAGGCTGCCTTGAGCCCAGACTCACGCCTGCTCCCTGCTCGGTTCCATTCTGGCCAGGCTCCTGATGATGTTGAGGAAGAAGGCTCTGCAGGTGGCCTCAG